TTTTGATTCACCATGCTAGTGCTTTTTGGGAAAATTTCCCCAATAAATTTCCGTCCAGAACAGCCCACATCAGCGGTCCACATGGCGGGCTAACGTGTCACTACAGCGTTGGTAGTAAGTAGCATTCTCACGGAAATAATTTATTAAGAGTATTTCCCGAATTAAATTTCTAGGGTGAACCAAATCCTAAAAATCACCTGGTTAGCCGTGGGCCTCATCAATGCCCAACAACAGAAAGCAATTAAAAATTGAGTCCCCTCAACAATACAGTTTTCTATCAAAATGTTTCCCATTTGATCTGATAAAATTCCAAACAGGGGAATAAAACCTAGAACCCTAATCTTCAGAAGAGCCCACAAATCTGCCTTAATCACCCACAGCATCCGGCCTCTGAAAATGTAGTCTTCTGGTCCGCGCTTAGAATATTAAGTCAACGACAAGAGTTAACGAAAAGCCGCGCGAATGAAACAATGGGGCGGACTACAAGATAACGAGGAAAACTAATCTTCGAAAAGGCTCGAAGTTTTCCGAACGGCAGATAACCTGAAGAGTCATCAGAGAAAGAATTATATCATCGAGAACTTCATCCTTTATAAGAAAATGGTGAGCCCAGAACCCCCCCCTGTCCTTGTAGGAGGTGGCAAAAAAAGATAGAATTCAGAAGCAAAAGATTATCGCCTGAGGGAGACGAGCAAGAACTTCCACTCATTACCAGCCATTTTGCCGAAACATCAAGGTTACTGCAGATGACCGTGGCTTGTTTCCTCCTATAGATGGAAAACATGGATACCCGTCATCAGCCTCAAACTTGGACAGGACAACGTCCGAGACCCGGACCTGCAGTAGGAAAACCGAGGACTTCACATTCTCCCTTTCCACACTGCCCGCCAACATATTCGTCCTGTTCCTCAGGAGGGGGGCGATCTCTGGGGGTCCCACGGAGGCGTTCGAGGAGGAAGATGCAGGTCCTCCTGAGACCAGCGAGCTCCACATCCGACGACTTGTTTTCTTGGACTTTGAACAGTGCACAAAAGTGCGTGAACAGTAGATAATGGCCTAAAGATGACGCACAACTCAGTTAGGTGAAAGAGAGAGAGAGAGAGAGGGTGTCTTAATGCTGAGCTACTGTAGCTGACGACAGAATGATTTACTCCAGAATAAACTCTCTCGTCCCAGACCTCTGATAAGGATAAGGGGAGAAGATAATCCTTTTTTCTTCCTCCCCCTTGTTCATCTGTGTACAAGCCTTAAATAACGCCCGAGGAAGAATAGGAAGTAAGTTCACGTTCATTCCTGTCGACCTCATCCTCAGTCATGCGGTGAGTGCTGTCGAGGGCTTGGCGCGGGGTGCCATCTTAGATGTCGGAGATGCTCTGATACTACGGTCTGTTTCCGTTGGAGGACCTAGTCTTGCGGGAGGTCGTGGAGATCTGGAGAGTGAAGGAGGGAAGGGACGAGGAGTCACAGACTTGTAGGTCTCCGAAGGCCTTCCTGAGGTCCTTCCCCGCGATGGCGTTCGTGGCGTAGGCAAGAAGCTCCGGAGAAGTAATCCCCCACCTTCCCTAAATGAACCAAGAAGGAAAGTAAATCAAACAATCCGCAGAACAGGACGACAACGAACAACAACCGATGACACCATGAGACCCCTGGGTCAGATCAAACCCTAGCGCCAGGGGTCGCAGGACGTGTCAACATGGAGGCGGGATCATTCACGTTCGCAGGTCAACTGTGGGACGGGTGATGGCTGCCAGAAGCCAGGAAACCCTAATGACTGCCTGTCGCTGTTAGAGATAAAAGCCTAATATGGACTTAGCGCGGAAGCTAGAAGACAGAAATAAAATGATCTCACAACCGAAGACACAACAATTTACGTGGTTCGGAGGTCGGCCTCCTACGTCCACAGGCGATGATGAAAAGCTCCACTGGATGTAGCAGAAGTACAGAATAGCACTCCCCATAACCAACAATACAGATCTCTAATCTTGGCCCTGAAAGAACTCACTAGTGTCTCACCAACAAGTAGAGATCTCTCCGTTGGAAACCCTCTCCCAGTCTCTCTGGCACTCTCTGCTCACTGGTGCTACGAGATGAGAAGAGGTGGACTCTATCTATAGACCTCCTTGAGCTGCCTCAGAAAACATGCCAATCGTTTCCTCCTTGAAGCTGAAACGGTTCGGCTGAAATGTTTCTTCCTTCTGGGTTGGCCTGCCGATAACTGGGCTGTTGAGGGGTGTGAGAACCTGTCCACGTCTGGCCCGTTTCGCACGTCTCATCTTATCTCTCTCTCCTCCGCATTACATGCGGTTCTCCTCCGCTGCCCTATGAGCACACATGAGCGTGGCCACTTTATGAGCCACGTGCCCAACAGTCGCCACCCACCCAAGAAACCCAGGCCAAGAACTAATGAAACCTAGTCCCCACTGTCGCCGTCGAGATCAGCACCATTGGAATTGCTTCGTCAGGGTGGGTATTCTTCGGACTCGTTCGAACTTGTGAAGATCCGGCTCCCTTGAAGAACCCTAATAATTCGCCATCTGGAGCCCAGATACTCCAGCGACCAAGGTCGGGATAAGCTTAGAAAAATCAGCCACGAGCCAGTTCATGGGCTTCCCCCATCTGTTAACATCCGCAGTCGGTCCTTGGATGCGATGCGTTCTTATCCAAAATCTGGGAGATCAAATTTCGACGAGCTGGACGGCAAAGGAGATTTTATTTTATTTTTCCTCCGAAATTCGATCCCAAAACTTTTTTAATTCAAGGGGAATGTAATATGTTCCTATAATCGTATGAATTCCATGAAGAATCTGGGCCGACCCACGGCCCCAGATCCGTTAAAAATCAGAGATAGGTCACCGGCTCCCGTCGCGGATGGAGCCCCGTTGACTCACCATCGGAAGAGTTGGCTCTTCCGTTCACACGAGTCAAATTCATCGATACGCGCCAGGCGTCGCTCTCGATTTGACGCGTCCAAACCGAGTCTCTGGTCGGCTAGACGCCCCGTTCTCCCCACTTAAACTGTCGGTCCCACGCTGACCCGATCATACACCGCCCCCTCTAAGGAGTAGAGAGAAAGAGAGAGAGAGGAACTGGGTGGGGGGCGTACTTCAGGTCCTATTCAAATCGAGGTTAAAATGGCGTAGAGAGAGATAGAGACTACGTCGTTAGAGAGGGAAAGCCAGGCGAATTCTCTGACCCACGTGGGAAAAACGCCTGCGGGTTGAATTCGTCTGTGGTGGGTCATAGATCAGATACAATGTTTGACTGACATATGCAGCAATTGGAATCATTCTAAGCGTGCGCAGCCATGCTCATCCAAAAATATGCAATAAATAATATTTCCGACCTATTAACATATTAAACCGATCCGTAAATAATCATAAAAAATATAAAAAAAATCTCCCGTTTTCCTCATAATTTTCCCCATTTAATTTTTTTAATCATCCTACCATATACCTCTCACAATAAACAAATTTACGTATAGAAATGTGAAAATTCCTTTCAATTTACTATATGTATATATACTTCGATGAATAAAATTATTTAAATCATTTATCATAAAATATGTCGTGGGTATCTAATAATACGCCAGTGTAAGCATCAGATTCCCCAAGCATGGTTCTTCGGTGATGAAGGTATTAACTAGTTGACTGAAAGCCAGTCAACATAGAAAGAGAATGGAGCGAAGTTTGACTAATTTATTTTTTTGCTAAAATAGATATAAAAACCTACAATATTCTAAGATTTAATGGAACATTTCCGAATTTCAAAGAAGCCGGGGGAGGGGAAGGTGGAAGTTTGAAGTCTCGCCATGTGTAAGAACATTATATAATAATTTTTTATTATATATATTAATATAGCCCGTCTAAGAGTTAGCTATAGAGCGAGAGAGAGAGAGATAGAGAGGTACCCTGATTAGTTAAGTGATGAAGATGGGCGTTCGGAAAACGTTCTAGAAACTGCCAATTTTCCAAGAGGCTAACGCGTTTGCCCCCAGGAGTTGTCCGAAGGAGGATCCGTAGGCGACGAGGTCCGTGCTTCTAGATGATGACTTGCCACGCGGCTTCCAGATTTCGCACCACATGTGAATGATCAGAAGTCGGCTCTCTCTCTCTCTCTCTCTCTAGACTTCGGTGGTTGTAGTAGCTGACCGATGGATATAGTTCTAGTAAGTTCGAAAAAAAAAGGGAAATGCCCAAACCAAAACCGAGATGATTCGTCGCCTCGGCCCATAAAAATGGATCAAGTATCCTAGAGAGAGAGAGAGAGAGAGAGAGAGAGAGAGAGAGTCTGGGCCGGGCGCAACCTTTTTAGGCCGAATTTGAGGTTCGGGCCCTGGATTATTTTGTTGTATCTGTATTTTAATGGGCCACATCGAATCTTCGAAGAAGGCCCCAACGAGGATCTTAATGAGTTTTTAAAGGATAATTTAATGGTCATAATACGCGTGGGCCCAGGCCCACCCAATAGGTGCGGAGCTTGAGAGAGAAAGTTAGAGAGAGAATGAAATCCAGAGAGGGGGCGGGAGAGAAGGTCCAGTTTACAGATAGAATCGATCGGCTTGGGTCTTGGGACCATCAGCTCAGGGGGCCTAGGTTCAATTCTGAACGGCAAAGCTTGATAGAGAAAGAAAGAAAGAGAGAGAGAGAGAAGGCAGAGAGCTTCCCAACACGCCAAAATAGGAGCTGGGGGCTGCTTGCTACCCTTCCGGATAGCGACTCGTTTAGCGTTCCCACCCACCGCCAAGGCGACCCCCAGCCGCTCTGACTCTTTCTCTCTCTAACCCATCCGACGAGGAACTCTCCGGGAAACCAGCCCCAAGAGACTTCTTCTCTCTCAGTTGACTGATGTCCATCTTCTCATTCCTCCCCCTCCTATAAAACCCCCAATTCCCCCTCTTCCCCATCTATCCCCTGCCTCCCTCCCTCTCTACCACCGCCACAGAGAGAGAGAGAGAGAGAGAGAGAGAGATCTACACACAGAGGAAAGCTTGACCGGAGACGATGGCGACGATGCGGTCTCTCCTCGTCTTCCTGGCTGTGGCGGCGGCGGCGCTGGTTCTCCCTTCCTCGGCGCAGAGCTGCTCGAGCTTGACCCTCTCCAACAGCCGTAACTACTTGCTCTGCAACTCCCTCTCCCGTCTTAGCTCCTCCCTCCACTGGACCTACCACGCGAGCAACGGCACCGTCGATATTGCCTACCGGGCGACGCAGAGCACCCCCGGCTGGATCGCATGGGGGATCAACCCCACCACCACGCGGATGGTCAACACACAGGCCCTCGTCGCCTTCGTGAGCTCCTCCTCCGGCAGCATCACCGCCTATCCCACCTCCATCGACAGCTACCGCCCGTCCATGCAGAGTGGGAACCTCAGCTTCGCCGTCTCCGGCGTCACCGCCACCAACTCCGACGGCGTGATGACCATCTATGCCACCATCACCCTCCCCAACAACTCCACGCAGGTGAACCACGTCTGGCAGGCCTCCACCAGCTTCAACGACGACGTCCCCGGCCAGCACTCCCCCTCCGGCGATAACATCCTCTCGTACGGCACCCTCAACCTCCTCTCCGGCGAGTCCGCCTCTTCCGCTACCAACAACGTCGCCCGCCGGAGAAACGTAAATAACCTCTCCCTCTGTCCCTCTTTATCTGTCTCCATCTCCCTTCTTCTTCTTCTTCTTCTTCTTCTTCCCTTACTTGCTCCTGCTGACGCCGCCATGGATCTATCTCTGCAGGTGCACGGGGTGCTGAACGCGGTGAGCTGGGGGCTACTGATGCCACTGGGGGTGATCATCGCCCGCTACCTGAGGGTGTTCAAGTCCGCCGACCCCGCCTGGTTCTACCTTCACGTCGGCTGCCAGTGCACCGCCTACATCCTCGGAGTCGCCGGCTGGGGCACCGGTCTGAAGCTCGGCAGCGACTCCGTCGGCGTGAAGCACACGAAGCACCGCAGCATCGGCATCGCCCTCTTCTGCCTCGCCACTCTCCAGGTCCCCGACTTTCCATTCTGTCATTCGCCTGCGCCGGAGAAGACGGTGGCGGAGGACTGACCGTTGCGGCGGCGCTGTTGTTGTTGTTGCAGGTGTTCGCGCTGTTCCTGAGGCCGAACAAGGACCACAAGAGGAGGATCTTCTGGAACGTGTACCACCACGCCGTGGGCTACGCCGTGATCTCCCTCAGCATCGTCAACGTGTTCGAGGGCTTCAAGGTCCTGGACAGGGAGAGGAGCTGGAGGAGGGCCTACATCGCCGTCATCGCCACGCTCGCCGGAGTCGCCGCCTTCCTGGAGGTGGTCACCTGGGTCGTCGTGCTACGGCGGAGGAGCTGCCACTCCGAAAAGGTCCTGGGCGGCGCCGTTGCCGCCAATGGGCACCACGGCAGGCAAGGCGCCTGATGGGCCACCGCCGCCGATGGGTTGATTAGGGTCAGGGGGTAGGTTCTCATTCTTTTCCGCTAGAGATTGCAGCCGCAGAGTGGTCGTCTTGGGGTTGCGCTTTCCTCGCACCCTCTCTTCGTGTTTTTTCCCTTTTCACACACACATTTCTTCGTTGTTTCTCTCTCTCTCTCTTCTGTAATATATGGTTCTCTCTATCGTTTACATCCTACTTCTCCCTCTCTAGAGATCTCTCCTCTCTCTCTCTCTCTCTATCTCTCTCTATATATATATATATATATATGGCTCTCTACATCATGTGGAGTGGAATAGGTCGTTTGACGCGAACCCAGAGACAGAGAGCAAGTCTTTCACACCAGATAGGGGGAGTTGTTAGGTGCGTCAAAGTGGTGGGTTCCACAACGGCGGTAGGAGGGTCGTTGACCTGAAATGTTGCGTGTCAGAAGAAAGAGGAATGGAGCCCACAAGAGTTTAGGTGAGCCGCCCAATAAGGGGGGATGCTACCAGGTGGTAGGAGGGGAAGCTATCAAGATTACGGCCAATGTGGACGATTGGGGCTGTTAGCTACCAAGATTCCTTGAGATTGTTGCCTATCATCTCTCTCTCTCTCTCTCTCTCTCTCTCTCTGACTTTTCAAGTCTCTCTCTCTCTCTCTCTCTCTCTCTACATCTCCATCTCTACCTCTCCATTTGCGTCGTTTTCCTTCCCGTCATGGGTACAGCTGGAGGGGTTACCTCAAGCGACAGGGAATAGCCGGTGTAGAGAGAGAGAGAGAGAGAGAGAGAGAGAGAGAGAGAGAGAGGGTTTGGTCCAGGTTTACTGCAGAAGGGCCTCATCTGAGAGCTTTTTCCCTTCCGTACAGGGTATAAATTTCTATACCTGGAATGTCCCTCTCATGGATGCATTCTCTCTCTTCTTCCTGTTGAATCGGTCGCCTTCGGGTGGCCAAAAGCCGATAGGATCTTACACGGCGAAGGCCACGTGGCACGCAATGGTTGATGCCCAACTATTTCGCCACTGGGGGCTTCGGTCAACAGGTAAAGACAACCGGAGGCGAAGAGTTCACAACCTGGACGACAAGCCCACACAGCCCCCATGAGTGCCCCCCACGAACTTGGTAATCTCCCCTCTCTCTCTCTCTCTCTCTCTCTCTCTAGGAAGCAAATCTATGGAAAGGCATGGTCAGCGGCGCATAATTTAGATGTAAATGGGCCCAAACCATGCTTCAAACCATATGTAATACAGATTGATAACTCTCCTCAAACAGAAAGCGGCAAAACACGATCTCCCCTCACAGAGTCTACACATCTATTAATATAGATATAAGTAACTATGTCCTCAGATCATATTAATGTACAAATTAAACTAGAAATTAGGGAGCAGATCACACACGTGGAGCACTTGGAGGCCTCCGATCAGGGGCGGTCTCTTGATTCCAGCTGTTCGATCTCCTTCACGACTAGCTCCTTGTCCTCTTCGAATTTCTCATCCTCTATTAATTACCCAGAAAAAAAAAAAAAAGGATCAGAAGATGATGATCATTATGTATTCTTTATTTTTTTTACTATTTTTGGAAGAGAAATCGGGCGGGAAATATGAAGGATTCCAGACCTTTTTCCGTTTTTAGGGTAACGAAGAGACGGAGGAGCTTGCTCTTGTTGGCCACCAGAATGCTACAAATCTCGGGGGGCTTATTCTGGTTGCCGACGAATAACTGGGAAATAATAAGAGGAAGAAACCATGGGAAAATGAACATTAAACGACAGTTCATTCGGATATAAATCTAAAGGCGGAGGAGCTGCTGCTACTGCTGCTGGGAGATACCTTGAAAACGTGGAACGCCTCCAACTGGATGTTCTTGCTGGTCTCCTGCCAAGGAATGAATACGATTCGATTCTAATTTCCGAAAATGGAAAGCGATGCACTTTACTTGTGGGTATTTGGAATATTGGGAGGCTAAGACAAAAAAATTGATTCCAGAATTCTTGGAAAAAGGTGTTAGTTTCTTGGGAGGGTAAAGACTTTAGCTTTTTTTTTTTTTTTTTTTTTTGTTTGGGGTGGTGGGGGGGTTTGGACCAAGAAATCAAGGCCAGAAGAGGGAAAGGTGATCCAAATCTAGAGCCCAGAGCAGGTTTTCTTCCATCTTTTGAGGGTTTAGGGTTTAGGGCAGGGAAGCTTGAAGGGTAGGAGTATTTTTCTACCATTTTTAAAGCCATTTATGGATACCAGATCATAATGAAAGGAGAAATGAAGAAAGAAAATGGAAATATGACAGAAAAAGAAAGGGCGTAGATGAGAATTAATACCCTCAGAAGATTCATCATAATCCTCAAGTTGTCCTTGGAGCCGATGTACTGCAACATGATCCCAGTGTTTGACCGCTCCATCATGATATCTCCGAGAAGCTGAAAAATCGCAAGGGCAAGGCAGAAGGATGGGGTCCTCTTTGAGATCAATTAAATATAATAGCAGCTGCTGTTTCATCAGAAATCACGCGCGTAGAATACGAGAAGCAAATAATCCAGCGGTTGAGATCACATCATAGGAGATGCCGCCTAAAGTTCTCGGTCCTATTTCTTTCTGCATTGGTCACATCATCCCGGGCTTTTGTCAAGTGTCATTCTGGATAGTATCCGAAATCACTTTCCTTGTAGCGTGGATGAATGCCGGATGATTCATTGATTTGGGGTCACCAGCTGATCTGATGATGATGATGATAATGATGATGTGAAACGTACCTTGACGGCTTGTCTTCTAGTGATGTAATTGGGGGACTCGAGAAGCTTGGAGTTGAATTCTGTGAAAAACTAGAGCATAACAACAGCGCGATAGTCAATGGAGTTTCTTTCTAAATCGGTGCTAGAGTAGTCTACTGATTTATCTAAAAGTCTAAAATAATGCACAACAACACAAATGGGTAGCAATTCAATCATTTCTGATGAACAAAACAGACGACACAGACTAATTTCATGTCAAAATCAAAGGTTAAATCGTGCACTTGAAGTCGCAAGAGCGTGCTTATTAGATGAAGCAGAAAAGAACCATCAAGCACCTCAAAAGAAGAAACGGTCATAGAAGCCCTTCTGTAGTAGACAGGAGAATCATCGAGAGAGGAATGTAGCATCTCCCAGGCAGAGATGACATTACATTGGAATCTAGGAAAACAGTAATGTTCACCATATATAATCGATGCAGCAGCAATGAATCAGTTCCAGCCAAAATCTCTTCATGGCCACCAGAAATCCTAAGATACTGAGAAGCTAACATTTAACACTAAGTAAGACATATAAATGATCACGTACCCAGTCATAATTTTTTGAGAGAAAGTCAGCAACGGTTGACTTGTGTCTTGTCAAAAGCTCCTGGAATATGAACGAGGCATTAGCACAACCTCGCCAAAACAGAAAATGGATTGGGGGTGAAAACCTCACAACAGAAGCTTGGACAGAAAACAAAAACATTAAAATGCCACGGACTGTCTAAGAGGGAGAAGTCAAAATTGAATAAGCAAGACTAATGCCTCAAGTTACATGGCTTGATCAGAGGTTTATCTTCCTCAAGAAAAACTGGGTTTGTTGTAACGAGAGTGAAATGAAGACTTCCTGGTTGGTCAACGAAAGGTCTTCCCCCTCCCTGACCACCATTGCATTAGATAGTATCGGGAAAAGTAAAAACATGGCTTCTACCAAGTGCCTGTTGACCAAAACCCATCATTTGGCTCGGTGTTGGACTTGACCGGGCTAGGGTACGGTTTTGAATCCAGGATAATGAACCAGACCATGAACACATTATCTACAAATCTAATCCTGCTGAAGAAGATATCTGTTTCAATAACATCGAAAAACTTATAAACGTTTGGTATCATTCGCTTGAAAGTGGACCGAAAGGCAAGATGCTATACCCACACTATATCAATATTGACAGAACCTCACCAAAATTTTTGGTATATAAATGTACTCGAGATGTGACTTCCTGTTCATAAGCAATCAGAGGTTGGAAGCAGAAGATTCTTGAGAAACAAAATGCAATAGCTTGACCTACCTTAAAAGTTGCAAACGCATCCGACGCTATGTCAAAGTTTGGGAGCTGTATATAATCAAAGAACTTCTTCATGTGATCAGATTCCAAAACATACCTGTCGGAGAATAGCATATGATTATTTTTACGTGCAAATGACAGTTATTGCATATCCATAATTGGAAGCTATCTTCGTATCTAAATGATCATGGTTTTACTTAACTTCAAACAATGAAAAGAAGAATCTGGATATAAAACAGCAAGAAAAAATGGGAAAAATATTGCAAGATAAATACCGAGATATTTTTTCGTGCTTCAATTCGGACAAGTGTGAAATTATGTTGACCTGCACTAAAAGCTTCAAGTTTTGGCTTTGATAGTTTAAAATGTAATTTTTTGTCAGGTAGAAGGCATTATGTACATAATTCATTCACCAAACAGTTTCCCCAGGATTTTTCTTCCAAGAAGCAACTGCAGCCGAGCAAATTCGATGAATCGGTATGCTCATAATCAATTTAACTGCCAGAAGCGTAGTCAGTTTCTTCCAAGGCAAAGGCAACTGGGGCACAGCTTGTTAGACGAATTGGGTTCAAAGGAATCTCATCTCTCTCTTTCTCTCCTTTGATACAAGTGCGGGCTCACTCGGGGCTAACTGCACTAATTTCATTGTCTTCGCTGGCACCTGCTCCACTGCTTTTGTCATTCCAATAAGGTTCCCACCAAGAGCAAGTTCCCATGAAGGGGATACACCAAACAGATGTCCTTATCCTCCACTAAAATAAGACGTTTCAAATACTAGGTAATCTGTGACCAACTGAGGACCGACTAAACACTGTCTTGAAAGCAAACGTGCATAACTTCAATGAAAGACTGATAAGAAGTGAGATAGCACATATCTGCTTGAAGCCTTGCAAGAAAACTACCCAGACAATGCGAGACATTGGAAATTAAATTGCGTGGTTGCCCACCTTACATCCCCAGCCTATATTATTGTAAGAAAGTTCATGAACAAACACACAGAAGTCTAAGGAAAGTTGTAGATAAGTTTCAACAAATTTCAACCAGTATAACATCTCTATATTATACTGGTGAAACTAGGTTCTCATCTTTCTCTTTCAATTATGTGCTCATCATTCTTATCAGAAGCTAGGTGACAAATTTCTTGGGTATCAAAAGCTTCTAAGTCAGGTAATTCTGGTGGTGTCACGCGAGTCACTAAGGTTGTACAGCTAGGTTTCCGAAAAGATAAAGGCTCTTTCCCCGAAAAAGAGGTCTACTGCTGTTCACAGATCCCAAAAGAATCCCTATAATATACCTTGCTATACTCTGATGCCGAATGCAGTCCCTCAGCATAGCTCCATAATGTAAGGCAATATCCATATCCGCGAACCTGCAGTGAGAAAGGTGCCTGATATAAACAAGAATAATAATAACGACTTGATAGATGACCGAAAGTGGTTCTCTCATAACGTGCTGAAGATAATAACAATAAACATGATAATGGCAGCCAATCATGTGAGAAATGGAAAATGAGACAAAAAAAGGAGAAATACAATTTTCTTTACTAATTATAATAGAAAATACGCAAATCAGCAATATTTTCATAATAAGAGAAACAACTCCTGCATAAAAATACTCAGAATAAAGAACGACAGAATAAAATATGATTAAACTGATAAATGGGCAACTCAAGGATTCATATGCTATTTTTTATGATTATTCTGGCAAGAGAAAATGACATCTAACATAAAAACTCAAAAAACTGTGTAATGCAAGAATGTTTGCTCACCCAGCAATCAAATGATCCATTAGATCTTTGTTTGCCTCTAGGTACTCAGAAGAAATCAACCGTGAATAGACCTGTTGCCGTTGCAAATTTGCGACAACTTGGGTGGCATCTTTACGAGCCTATAAAAAAATCTCTTCGTAATCACAAATTTTGTAAGATAAAAAATGCTATCAATCGCTGTATTGATAAAAACGTAGTTTTGTGGTCTCAAACAGTTATATTATTCTAAAGGACTTTTCGAGGAGCCAACTAGCATCAGCTAAGATTCGGGCTCCCAGTCATCAACCAGCTTCTCGTACCTCCGAACTGATGAGATTAACTTCTTGGTGCAGATAAAACTTAAAAGAATATTTGTACAATAAGCATATTTACCTCTAGGTTTAACTTTGGGAGACAAACAATTAGAAGACGCATGGTGTTCTCTCTGAAAAATTCTTGAGTCAACTGCGCACAGGCTTCGGGAACAGGTTCCATTTCACTGCTGCCGTACAGTATGGACTTCAATTCCCTGAGAAGTTTAGCTAATTCTGCCATCTGCATATAATGTATACAAAGTGGAGCTTCCATTATGTTTTTGAATGCACTTTAGTTAATTCACAGACAAAAGAGGATCGGGTTGGAGAAAAATTTCGGAAATATATTATGTTGTAATGCGACAACAAGTAATAAGCGTTAGGGTAAATATAATCCGGATAAGAAAATGCAACGATTAATTTAATCCATATAACGCTGATTAAACCAAAAAGTATCATAAAAAAATCTCCCCAGAAAGCAAAGAAGTGGCAGTTGAACTAGTGACTACATTCTGAGGTATACTCCGCCCCTTAAAATAGGTAATATATATATCCTTAAAAGTTGATCTCTCTGTTCTGAATAATTTTCCATTGATAAATGAAATAGAGATATATTAAAACGCCACTAATCTCAATAACAACGACGGGTATTTTTGTAAACACATGGGACATTTAAACATATGGCATCGAAGATCATATACCACAATCAGTTTTCCTCAAGTCTTGAAATCCCAGATTAATTATACCGCCTGTATTGATGAATCACTTTCTAACCGCTGTAATGATAGTCAAAATGTGAATTCTGCACTCTTTTAATTTATGTAACTCAATTTCTATTCGTTATCATTGCTCTGATATCAAGTTGTTCATGGCACCCAGATACAAATTTCAAAGAATGTCTCAATGTATCTACCACCTTTTACAGATGGAGCCGTAAATTGCGGAATCCCAAGACAAAAAATAGCGTCGCAACAGCCGCAAGGCAAAGGAGAGAAACGCGTGTAATCAGAACACACAACAACACGTACCAAAAATATGCACATTCGTACGCGACAGAAAAAGCAACCTGGGACAGATCACCGACCTTGTCCTCACGCTTTGCGTCGCGGGAGTTCCAGTTGACGTCGACGTAGATGAGGAGCTCCCGAGTCTGGCGCACCAGGTCAGCAGGCGAACGAGGCTTCGGCTTGAAAAGTCCCTTCATCTTCTCTCCCCCTTCCTCTAACCCTCCTCCTTCTTCACGAGCCCCTCGAAGACCGAGGCACCACCACCTCCCCGTCCGGCGCGCCGATCCTTCCCCTGGGACAATCAGGTGAGATGAGCTTTTTCCGTCGCCTTTCCGTCGTAGCCGGAGGGAGAGGGCAGAAGGCGGCAGCGGCAGAGGACATCCATTCAAGCCCGCGTCCTCCTCTTCCCTCCCCCACCAGTTCTCCCCTCCGCCGAACCGCACCAAAACGGGAAGAGGCCCTTTTCTCTCTCTCTCTCTCCCCCTCCCTTTCGCCATCCATTCGAGGGAGAAGAAGCCTAAAAGCGGGAAACCGTCCAACGACGCAGAAGAGACGGCCGCCGTCGGATCTGTCGTCGTGGACGGTCGCGATGTGCTCGATCGTGGACGAAGAGCCGTCCGCCTTTCTTTGGACGGTCGAGATTATGATCCTGTTATTTCATTTTGACCCTAAACCTAATATGGCTTGTCTATCTAACCCTTTTTGTTATTCACTTCAGCCACGAAATAGGAAGCGTAAGAAAGGCGAAGATCCAACCGCCACAGGGAAGGGATATCCACATGAGGGTCCCGACTTGGACGGTCAAAAGATGCTAGCCCTCGCTGGGCCGAAATTATCTATCACTTCTCCAAAAGTTTAATAGTTGTATGTAGTACCCTTTCTCATATTATTATGATCATTTGCCATCCCTTGTGAAGATAAATTTGGTGTGAAGTAAAATAAAAACTATTTCTGGTCCTTATGCATAAAAAACCCGATAAGGGCAAGCAGTTGCCCCCATTTGGCTCCAACACTACGAGCGTTAATAGGATGGGTTTTCGCCCGAAAATTATCACTACAAGGGCGTTTTATGTAATTACCCATTTAGGACCGTAGTCGGCGGAGACGGTTGAGGCCCCCGTGATCAGGCAGAGCCCACATGGCAGGCTGACGTGGCAATGAGCCGCGGCCGCAGTAATCCCCCGGGCCGGAGGCCCAGCCCGTTTCTGAACTAGAGCCGCCCCTCTAGTATTCTACATTCGATCTGCGGGCTTTTGATTGAGGGATAAGAGGAGAACCTGGGCGTTGTAAAGCCCATTCTAGGCCCGGTTACTTTCCATAAGAGTCCAATCAGCTGGGGCCCAGCCTAGATTGCTTCTACCCCAGAGAACCAAGGGCATGGCTTGACGACAAAGGAAGGAGAAGGCCACATTGCAATTGCGCTCTCTCTCCTTCCTCCTTTGATGTCTGGCCTGGCCATGTAAACCTTGATGAACGTGAGTCATCGCCATTCTGTCATGTAGAACGTTGGCATTATCTCTAAGGCAAAAACGAAAGTAGATCTAACAAGGAACTACCCTCTCCACAGAATATGGATCTCAGGGGCTCGAGCTGAAGATCTAGTTTGGCAATTCTATGTGCCATATAAGTAATGTGGGGTGACTGATGTGACTTAGTCGTTGTATATCAAATCATGCAAATTTAAAATTTATAAAACTAGAAAATATGATTTTTTAGATATTTAGAAGTATTTTTAAACAAATATATCAATTATAATTCAATATAACTTCCAAAAAATAGCAATAATTTTCCAAGTCAATCACAAGGATGTAATATAATATTTGGTAATTATTTAGAATTTTATTTAAAGAATAATATTTTCTATGAATTTATTACTAAGAAATAAAAAGGAAATATATTTAAAATTCATGAAAAAAGGAAATAAGGGTGCAAACGTCAATGCCCGCCTGGCGAATGCAAATCGAGCAGAAATAGAGTTCCACCTGGTGATTCTTACATAAGTGATTACAAATGATTTAATTGATCAAATTAAGATCTGTAAAAGCTGAAAGAATCATAATGAAATGAAGTATATCTTGGTAAATTTAAAATTAATAAATTATCACTAAATGAAATAGAAATTAAGTTGAAAGCAGAAAAATAGAGTTTTGGTATCGCGACGGCGATGCGTCGGTAATGCACCAAAATCTTGAGTGTTTGAGAAAATTGTCATGTAGTGTTTATGGCCTCGAAGGCTCTCCTTAGACAAAGACAACGTGGGCAATCTCTAGATCTCCTTTCGAAGTCTAGAGATCAATGAAATGGGTCGTTAACTTGTCTTCGTTGGCTGTCATCTGACGGAGTGGAAAAATGACGACTTTGCGGTTCTCTGATGACTATCACTCGACAAAGAGGAACTAAATGGAAGTGGGATGCATGTTAGGGAGCTTCATCTTCAGGTCTACGCAGCAAGAGGAGGCTCTTCATCGCCTTTGGTACGCTCTCAAGAGGTGGTGACTCATCTCTTAGTAGATTGTCCTCTTCCTGACAATGGCTTATTCATCGATCAATTAGAGATGATTTACTTAATAGATTTGTGATCCTTTTATCATGAATCCTTCAGTAATTTTAGTAATAATACTATGCGAATCGCGTTGATGAGATTTTCGTCAATGATCTAATGATTCTAGTTGCTTAATCCTTCACCAACGATTTGCAGAAAAGTCACGATAATCAAATAAAAATATGAGTTTTAATTCTAGGAGGATTCGAACCCACGCTAGTTGCTTTGCCTCTTCTGAGGAGGTGACGGGTTTAGTCCCACATTGGTTGTGTACTAAATTTTTGGGCAAATATATAGTAATGTTATATTTCTAAGTAAAATTCCTTTCTTGTGTGTGTACGACCACTCCTTGCCTCAGAGTCGGCTGGCTACTAGTGACATGGAAGGAGAGTGGCGCACACGTGCTCTATCGGTACAAGTCGCTCGAGCCCCTACTCGTAGCTCCTCTTCGACTGCACTTTCGACTCGCTTGTAGGTCCAATTGGCTAATGGGTTCCCTCATTTTATAATATTTTTATTTTATTTGTTTTCCTTTATTTATCTTAAAAGTAAGACTGTAAAAATTATATACATTCATATAAAATCACATAATTACCCAAAAATTCACATTAATCAACTAAAAACTACTTTTCACACTTTAACACAAATATAAGTCTATTTATCATGACTTAAGATTAAAACTATATTATTTACTAATTATTAGCTCATGATAATGAAGACTTATCTGTGATCGTAACATATTTATGAATATGATCAAGGAAAATTAGTTTATGAAGCTGTGAATTAAGAATAGTTTGAAGGATGTTATATACCGAGTCATGATTTAAATAACTAAATAATGAAACCCACTTCTACTAATTTGATTTTAATTGGTGGTATACTAAGTGATTGAGATAAGTCAATATTTCTCAAGAGTAGTTAATGCATATCCCCCATTGTCTCGGTCAATGGAAATTTTCTTGGTTGTGATTACTAGAGGAGTGAAGGCATCCACCATGGTTTCGCCTGTCGATGCGGCGTGATTGATGTCACTAAATATATATGTTGACCTCGTCATTGGCCTCTTGTGAGGGTTCCCAACGGACCTCCCACATGATATTGACCTAGCCATGGAGTCTTTTATAGGCTTGTAATCCGGTTAGAGGCACCCACTAGTGTGCAGGCTATTAAACAAACTGATGAAACTCACCACCTCTTCATTGAACTTCTTGCTACCATATCTATCAAGTGAATTGTAAAATATAGTTGGTAGCCATAGAATAATGAACAAATAATATCCATTATTTTCTATGATAAAAGTGATATCTATTCCAGATTAATTCCTAGAGAGTCATTAAGTTGATTTGTCAATGTTTGAACCCTCTAATCACATGGGATGTACACAAGCTAGTTTGCTCATATCTTAGTCTTGCCATTCATTATTTATTAATCATGTCGGATTTGACTACTTAGATTGGTATCCCCTTACTAATCTTATGAAGTGTCAATAGCTGAAGTTTTGTACACACACATTTCTTTAAAAAAAAATCTCAAATATTTTTAATTATCCATCAACTAGTTTTTCCTATAATAAGATTAATTCAAACAATTGAGAAATCAATATTATATGTTCATAGATTAGTTTAGGTATCCTTATGAGAAACTGATACATGCTTTCTTTATTACTTATTGTTTATATTTTAATCATTTTCATTTACTTTTATCTATTAAGAATTCAATATTGTATGAGCAAAAATCAGTAAGGATATGATATTGTTAAAAGAAAGATGATAGTAGATATCCTGATAAGATGATGATTTAGGAGTGAAATTTTATTCGAATCACCTCAAAAAAATATGATCATTAAGTTAACACCTTGAAGTTGATCTCAATATTTATTAACATTTTGTTCATTCAAGATATCTAAAATAATTTTATTAGTATATTCTATAATGTCTAGAAAATCATTTTCTACTTAGTAAGCAATTTGAATTCAAAGTATTAAAATAATTTCAAAATCATTTGAGAATATTAATCTAATATGAAAAGTACACAATATAATATGTAGGCTTTCATACTCATATCTTACTTCTTGTTATCTTATTGATTACAATATGGTTATCATTAATTTTTCACTATAGCATATTTTGTAAATATTGACATCTTTCGTAATATAATGTGATATGAAAATTTCACATAATGATATCAATCACATATATAAGTTCAGGATTATTGATCAGGAGTATGCTCAATAATCCCTCATATGAGCCATTATCATTATTATTCTAAATTATATTTTAGCATTTGTAATACATGTATATTTGAACTAGGTATAATTTGATCTTATAAAGTTTGTTTGTCATCATCAAAACATTATGCATATAATATTCAAAGAGGAAGAAGATACATAAAGAGGAGTCTACAGATTTTTTAAGTAAACAAAAAAGTTATTTAGATGTCAAAATTTGCACATCAGCTTGCCACTACTTGATAATTTGTACATCCTTTATGCCTATTCTCTATGAATGCTACTTGATTAGGTAGGGCATCCTTCAAGGATCATTGTTCATCACAATTTAGGAGATAATGCAATGGTAAAGAGATTTTCAAAATTTTTGACGATTTACTCAATTAGATTTGTCTTTTAATACCTCAAAGTTTCAAATATGTCATCCA